GGGGCCCCTACCCCCCGCCCCGGCTGCCACAGCTGCACCGTCTTCTGCTGCCGCAGCCCCCTCGGTGACAGGTACCACCTATGAACAACAGGAGGTAGGGAGCTTTCAGAATATGGGTTCTGGATATCTGCTGGAGAGATCATGGACCAACCTCTGCTCTGTGACCTCCCTGGGTGGTGCCAACCCATGGTCTTGGTTTCATTGGGTTCCTCCCAATTTGTGGGGGAAAGCAGCACCAGGGGCAAGCTCGTGCAGGGAAGCTGATTAACAGGTGGGAGAGACATTTTCAATCATCGTGTATTGTGGAAGATGATATTTTTGATCATCACATATTGTGGAAGAAATTCCCCACAGGTTTCTGCTGAGATGGAGGAGCTTACAAGCTGTCCAGGGGTCCAGAGGACCCTGCTACTGGAATCCGTTCTTGGAAAGAGGCTCCAAGCCTTGTCCAGCTACTGTCACCTACCTCTAGACCTGGGCTGGCTTCAGAAATATTGCCTTAATTACACACTGCTTTCTAACAAAAACAACTCTGCAAATTGGGTTATATCAGCAGAAGCCAATATATTCTACAGTTGGATAAAGATTAGAAATCTTCAGATTACATCAGATATCAGAAAAAAATATAACCATAAAGATCTATAGCCAGGTCAGTATAAAAAAGAGAAACATACATACAAGCCCATTCAGTCTGGGTATGACCGAACCATTTGTGATCAGTCCATGTTGAAAAATTACTGCATGTTTTGTTCCAGTTGTTGAAAGGTGGATAGAACAGTCCCTGCCTATAGATCAGTGCTGAATCCTTCATCTAGCAAAGACTGTTGTAATTCATGTATCACCCTAACTTTGCTATTGGTATATACTGGTGTATGCTTACAGTAGCACGTTGGATATATATATACGTAGAGTGGATTAATCTTAAGGGTTGGAGGGTGGAGAGTAAATGACAAAACTCATTCTGTTAATCCAATTAACTTCAACATGGAATTTTTAATGTATGGCAGACAGCACCAGGATAAAGTAAAAACACTGAAGAAAAATTGTTTTCCAGGTACCAGGGTCAAGCTACAGCTAGCAGAAATATCTCTGATCCCCAGTTAACAGCCTGATGCTCTTTGCTTCCTCAGTTTGATCCTTCCTCCACAGATGAGGCTAACTCAGCTACCTGAACTCAAATTGAACTACCCACAATTGTTCATGGGCGCTCTTCAAGCACTCTTTTTTAGCAATATCTAATATTCAGCACTACTCCTATTCACTGCTATTAATTAATGTGATAAAGAAATTCTTCTGGAGTTCTTGAACACAGGAAATATTATAGGGTTTTGTAGAAATCACTGGAGCAGCTTTAGTTTTAATTGAAAATGCTGCTGATAAAGGATGCCCTGTCATAAAAAGAAGTAACATTAAAAGACATGGGCAGACGTTGACACCTTCTCCTGTGACTTGTAAAGCATGCAAGCCTGCCACTCATAGTATTACCAATTTAACAGCCTTGACCCAAGAAGATATTCAAATAAATGATGAATGTAAAAGCCCTGGAAGAGGCTAGTAGGAAAGAAAGGGAACGGAGTGCCTATCAGATTGATTTTATACCATGCGCTTCTAACAGCGCGCTGCAGAAATTGATCTTGCTGTCTGTTGTGATTAGAATCAACACTTCTTTTCTATTTATTGGATTTGTATAGCCCATTTTATTTCACTAAGGAGGAGAATACTACTTTACATGAATCAGCTCTCAAATGCCCAGCAGTGAAAGGGTGACGCTCTCACAGCCTGTAGCCGTGAGTCACTGGATGTATACCACAGCTCACAATTGTGTAATTGCTTGTTCTTGTGTCTTAGAGTACAAAACCAAGGCAAGCTGGATGATTAAAAAAAGCTTCTACAAAACTACACGTGAGGTAGCACAGCATGAACCTCACTATCAGCCTCCAATATATTTGATCAGTACAGAAAAGGAAAAAAAAAAAAAGAGGAAGGCTCATCCCAGTGAATTCACACCCAGCTATGGTGAACCGCATACTTGCAGATACAATTACCTGTATTACCTTATTCATATTGAAAACCGATCCTACAAATCTCTTATCCATAACTCATCAATAATATTAGACAGTCTAATAGTAATCCAAATTAGCCATCTCTAGCGGTAGTACTGAAATTTGGACAGTTGTCCCCTTATCCCAGCCACACAGGGGACAAAGAAAGGGTCATCCAGTATAACGAGGGCTGCGATGGAAGAACCACTTGACTGTTTTAATTGCAGAAGTGAATGCTTCCTTGCCCAGGACGCAGCCAACTCACACGGTTGCACTCTCATTAACATTGCTGTCAGCTCAACACAATGCCACAGATTCACAGCAGCAAGAATGAACCCAGGGAGAGGAGGAGGAGGAGGATGGAGGTCTCCCAGAGGAGCTCCTGGAGCTATGCTGGTTTTCCAGAGCTGAAGGCCTCACCCCATGGCTGGATTTAGAAAGGGACTGGGTAATTTTTTATGACAGTTGGTTATAATTGCAGCTAAGCTAGCTAATATAATGTCAAGAGGAACTAATCATCATGCTTTAGGGAATACATCAATTGCTTGCAAAATCTTGGAAGACTTTTGGGGTAATGCTGAAGAATCTGTTATGCAAGTTACAGTATCAAAGGGACCACCCTCCACTGGAGGCCAGATATCGGCTTAGCAAATAGCTTGATCTCTTATGGCAGCTCTTCTGCTATTTTAAACAGAACAGAGCATCAAACTCACCAGAGAGGAGACCTCAACTTCATAAGGACAAGTGGATTAGAAAAAAGGGGAAAGATTTCAAAGAATTAGCGCCTTGGTACTCACAGCACAGCAAGGAATTTCGTGCATGTTTCTTCTTGGGCAGGACTTGTTGGGAATGACAAGCCAACGCCACAGAAGCAACACAACGCCCTTGCACTGCCTCAACACCAAGCTGGTCTTGATCTACCACTCCCGTCCTGCACTTTCTTGCCAGTGTAATTCCACTGATTTCTACACAGATGTGCAGCACTGGTGAGGACTATGACACCAGTGAGTCCCAAACTCGCTTCCCAGTGACACTGGGATATCCTGGAGCCTCAGCTATATCCTCAACTCTAGCAGAGCTAAAGCTGTTTTACAGCAGGGTAACAAACCCAAGCTTGGACCACTGGACTTACCATGTTCTGAAACCAAAGTGAATGGAGACCTGCTCACCATCTTTTTATTTACCCTGTGGCACCAAAATGAATAACACCAAAAAAGGAGGTTGTCGGCACCTCGAGATGCAAATCCTAAGTGGTTAATAACTAGGAGTTACAATCTCTTTCTCAGTCCCTACTTCTGTCCCTGCATTTAATATGTAGCTGTTCCTCTTGTGCTGCTCTGTGCGTGTTTGAACACGTTCTAGTTTCACTTTAGTATAGAAGGATTTAGGGTAAGTAGTTTTATCATTTCTGAAGAAATATAAGCAAAATAAAATCATTTGAGTCCACTCATGCCCAGCTTAAATATGTCATTGAGCTTTTCGGTTGCTTTGTAATTGGATTTTAACTGTATCTAACTTGATGGCGGATTTGTGCTTTAGCAAACAAACTCATAACATGATTATTTTTAAATATCTGTTCTAGTTCAGGGCATACTGTGCTAGGCAAAAAAAAAAGATTAATCAGAGTTTTTTCTTTATAAAGAGATGTTTGCACGAAGGCTAAGCAAACAAGTTTACAGAAAGCATAAAAGCTACTGGGAATCTATGTAACATATTTCCAAATGTCAATAGAAACAGCATTATACCTCCTTCTACCATGGGGCTGCTTTGTTTGCTGCCCTGAGACATTTATCACTACACTGCTGCAACAGGCAGCTTCTACGGTGGTCCTGCATTGAATGAGAGATGTTCTAGTGTTAGAATATATACCGCAGATATAGACAAATCTGTGCAGTGTTAGAAGAGATACTACAGCTAGCTCACTGTTACAACATATTGGGCTGAATATTGATGACATGCAAGTGACAAATATATTTTTGCCACGATTCTCTTGAAGATATTAAAGCACAAGCACACTCTTGAGGCTGTTCATATGTACCTCGCTTTCTTTCTCAGCAACTCCAGTTGTCTCCTTATCCCCTGCCTCGACACTGTCCTGTATAAAGAGGAAATACAGTCATCACCTTACTCATGCCGAGGCAACGGCTGCAGAGCAATTGGTATTAATCAAGCTTAATGGAAGCACGGCATGTATGGGATGCAATGAAATGAATGGTTGGAACTAAATGGGATAGTGTATAGCAAGCAGAAAAATTCTTGCTGCCACATATCTTTGGAAATAAAAGTAGTTATAGGCTAAAAACCAACAAAACCTTTTACATATGTCATCATCATCACACTGTAAGTGCTAAGGACAATTTTATTTACTTTTATTTTCAGTATTCTCGTAATAGCACCAGCTTTGAAGAATTGTGTAGTAAGCTACAACCCACAACACTGCGGACCTTGCAGTTTCCAGCAAGCTCCAATTTCTCGCCTCCCAGACTCAAACTGTTCCCATTATAACCTGCTGCTGCCCAGCAACTCACCAGGCTTTCAAGGTAAACTTTCTAAAACACTCACTTCTTCCACTCATGTTGGACTGCAACTCTTTTAAAGGGGCTGTTCAAAAGAGGTGGGTCACAAAGTTCATCTTTTTTTTGCAGAATCACCTTTCTCTAGGTCCATATTCAGTGGTACATGCAGCAGGTGCCTGACTTTTAAAAATTAGACATGTGTCAGTGGTTTTCCACATCTGACACTCATTTAGGTGTTCAAGGGATTGAATGCACTGAACAGTAACGGGCTCCCCCCATATAGTACTTTTTACAGCCCAGATGCCATCTAATACTTGATCCTTTTCTACAGAAGGTCAACAGTCAAAATTGCTAAAATTGGAAGTGCTTTTTTTTTTCCTGTTCAGGTGTGAT